ATACTCTTACTTCTTTTCACGATCTGTTGAAATCTGATGATACACTTTATCAATCTTCTTGCACTGACACACCTGAGCAGAATGGTGTTGCCGAATGAAAACACCGTCATATTCTAGAGACAGCACGTTCACTTCTTTTATCAGCACATGTTCCCAGCTCATTTTGGGAGGGAAGCAATTTTGACAACAGTTCAGTTGATCAACATCATTCCTACTATGCTCACCTCTGGAGTCTCTCCATTTGAAAAGTTATGTGGTAAGCCACCTAACTATTTTTCTTTACATGTGTTTGGTTGTACCTGTTTTGTTTTACTCCCTAGTGTTCTTCGTACCAAACTTTCTGCCCATTCAGTTTTATGTGTATTTTTTGGTTATGGTGAGGGTCAAAAAGGGTATCGTTGCTATGATCCCATCCCCCGCAAACTTTATGTCTCTCGTCATGTTATTTTTATGGAGCATATTCCATTCTTTTCAATTTCATCTAGCTCTTCCTCATTGAATAAGTCTGACCTGCTATACATTTATCCCTTTCCTACCAATGATCCTCACGATACATATGCTGGTGATATACCTGTGTCAGATCCTTCATTATCTGAGTCGACTATTACTCGTCCCCCTATTGTGTATACTATGTTCGCCGGACTCCAATTATCTCCCCTCCGAATGCAGTGCCTCCCTTTTCTTCTCCGGCCGCCCAATCAAGTTTAGACACTGTGGATCATACCCCACACTATCCTCAGTGCTCTCGCAAATGTCCAAACAGGTTTGGTTGAAATAATACTTGTTATTCTTCTGACTTTTGTTCTTTCCTTACTTATATTCATTCTCTATCTGAACCCTCCTCCTACAAGGAAGCATTACTTGATCCACTTTGAAAACAGGCTATGGATGAGGAGTTGTCTGTCTTACATAAGACCAGAGCCTGGGAGTTAGTGCCTTTACCGCCTGGTAAACGCACCATTGGTTGTAAGTGGATTTATAAGATAAAAACCAAGTCAGATGGTTCTGTGGAACGATATAAAGCTCGATTAGTAACCAAAGGGTTTGCTCAGGAATATGGTCTAGATTATGATGAGACTTTTGCTCCTGTTGCCAAGATGACTACTGTTCGCACCGTGATTGTAGTTGCTGCCATTCGACAATGGAGTTTGTCTCAAATGGATGTGAAAAATGCATTTCTACATGGAGATTTGACTGAAGAGGTTTTTATGACACCTCCCCCTAGATTATCTTATAGTTCTGGTCAAGTATGTCAACTTCATCGTGCCTTATATGGTCTTAAATAGGCTCCCAGAACATGGTTTGCCAAATTTTCTTCGGTTATCTGTGACTTGGATTTTCGTGCCAATGACCATGATTCTGCTCTCTTTTTACGGTCTACTTCTTCAGGTTCTATTATTCTCTTACTATATGTTGATGATATGATTATTACGGGTGATGACACTGCTGGCATATGCTTATTGAAAATCCAGTTGTAGGACCATTTTGAAATGAAAGATTTGGGACAACTTAGATATTTCTTGGGTATTGAGATTGCTTCATCGCCTAAAGGATATCTTCTTTCTCAGTCTAAGTATGCTTCAGATATTATTGAACAAACTCGTTTATCAGATAATCAGACAGTTAAAACACCTTTAGAGCTCTCAATGTTCGTTACTCTTCGTCTGACAGTACTCCCTTATCTGACCCGACCCTCTATCGGACTATTGTTGGGAGTTTAGTATATCTTATAGTCACTCGTCCGAATATCTCTTATACTGTTCACATTGTGAGTCAATTTGTTGCCTCACCTACCATCGTTCACTGGGCTACTGTTCTTCGCATTCTTCGGTATCTTTGTGATACTCTACATCAAAGTTTACTCTTTCCTCACTCTTCCTCTATGGAACTCAGGGCTTACTCTGATGCTGACTGGGCTGGTGACTCTATGGATCGCAAGTCCATCACTGGTTTCTGCCTGTTTCTTGGAGATTCTCTTATTTCCTGGAAAAGCAAGAAACAAACTGCTGTTACTTGTTCTTCTGCTGAAGCTGAGTATCGTGCAATGGCATCTACTATAGTTAAGATAGTCTGGTTATGATGGCTTCTTGCTGATCTTGGCATTTTGGTATCATCTCCTACTCCTATGTTCTATGACAACACTAGTGCTATTCAGATTGCTCATAATTCGGTCTTCCATGAGCACACAAAACACATTGAGATTAATTGTCACTTTGTGCGTCATCATCTGCAGCAGGGCACCATCACTCTCCCCTTTCTTCCTACCACAATGCAAATAACGAATTTTTTTACGAAGTCTCATACCATAGCACGTTTTAGATTTCTTCTTGGCAAACTCTTGATGTTTTCTACCACAACATGAGTTTGAGAGGGGATGTTAGAGTATTCATAATAAGGGTAGTTTAGGCATTTTCTTTATGTTGTATTGCCCTACTATACAAGGGTTACTTTATGTATTTCTAGGTTAAGCTGTGTATTATAAACTTCTTTATGAATAATATATTCTCTCTTTCTCTTCTCTATTCTCATTGATCAATTTTATCACTAGAATGGTTGAATAATTGTTTGAAACATTAAGGAAATAGGGAACTTTGTAGGTTCTACATCTTAAGCAAATTAGATAATGTTAAGAGAGCTTGTATTCTACATCGAATGATTAAGAATATTTGAAGAGTCACTCCACCCATTGTCAATTGGTTTAGTATCAGAGTTGGGTCTTGGGTGGTTAGTAGGGTTGTCAACGGATCAGATTTTGATCTGTCCAGCAAATCCGATAAAAAATTAAAGTTTCGAAACCGATCCGTTTACCCAACAAATTTCAAAATCTTAATCCATATCCGTTAATAATTGTATATCTGATTCAATTACTCAATCCGATCTGAAAATTTGAATTCCAACAAAATTTCATTAAAAAAAATAATAATTTTATCAAATTTAAGTTAATTTTCAACCTTATTTAATCAACCCATCATTCTATTCAATAATTTCAGGTTAATTTCATGTCAATATCATTAATAATCTAACTAAATATATATTTATATACAATAAATTCTCTCAACTAAATATGTATATATGTATGTATGTGTGTGTGTATATATAGGATCGGATTTACATGTATCTAAAATCAAATCCGTTTAAAGAAAATTAATCAAATTCGGACAAATAGATTAAACTATTAATCCATATCTAGTTAAATGGACTCAGATTTGGAGTAAAATCAACTTTATTAACTAGTCTAGTGGTCAGAGAGTCGAATCTCTTACCCATTTGAATTTTCTGTTATCCATAATTGTTGTTTGTTTGTCAACTCCATGTGTGAGGCCAAGTTCCATGTGAGGGAGGGTATTACGAGAGCTTGTATCCCACATCAAATAATTAGGACCAACAAAGTTAGTTTGATTTATATGCTTGTGGGGCATGCCATCCATTGCTAATTTGGGTTGCATGCTTTAACAGATAAAACATGCACCAACTGCTTTAACAAATAAAACCAGTAATAATTGAACCAGAATTAGAACTTGAGGTGCTTCTGTCTCGGGGCTACTTCACCAGCTTCTTCAGCAAAGTCAACTAGGGCCTAGTATTACTTGACCTGGTTGCAACATAAACTATTTGTAAACCAGATACTACGAATGAAATAATGTCACAAGGTGTATGCTACTTGCAGATGATATTGAATTAGTAGATGAAACTCGAAGGGAGATTAATAATAAGTTACAAATTCGGAGAGAGACACTTGAGTCGAAAAGGTTTAAAATAAGTAGGAGATCAAGGGTCAAAATATTGTTTCGAAACGTCCGAAACGTTTTTGTTTCTAAGGAGAGCGAAACGAATCGGTGATTGAATTGAAATTCTAAGATTTCGAGGTATTCCATAATGTTTCGAGATGTGTTATAATATTTCAATATATTTGCACAATTGTTTAGGAATGTTTTAAAGTATTTTAAGATATTTTAATATATTTCAATCAATAATATAGAAAAATAATTATTAATTTTTTTTATTTTTTTCATTATGTTTCCAAAATAAATCGAAACGTTTTCGAAACACACCGAAAAGTTTCTGTTTTCTAGGTGAACGAAACAATCCACCGAAACGAAATTTTTATCCTTGGTAGGAGTAAGATTGAATATGTGAAATACAATTTTAGTAATAGAAGAAATAGACATAGTGAAAAAGTTAAGATTGAAGATCAAAAAATATCAACGAGTAAACAATGTAGATATGTAGAATCGATCATTAAAAATGATGGAGAAATTGCAGATGATGTAATTTATAGAATCAACACTGGTTGGCGTAAGTGGAAGAAGGCCTCTAGCATATCATGTGATAGAATGATAGCAATAAAATTGAAAGGTAAATTTTACCGAACAACTATAAAGACGATAATGTTGTATGGGACAAAATGTTGAATAACTAGGAAATAAAATAGTGACAAAATAAGTATAGCGGAAATGAGAATGCTAAGATGGATGTGTGAAAAAATTAGAAATGATAGAATACAAAATGATTGTATTGGAGAAATAGTAGGAGTATCTCCAATTGAGGATAAATTAAGAGAAAATAGATTAAGATGGTATAGTCATGTTCAACGGAGACTGATAGAGGCACCGGTTTGAAAAAGTGAGAATATCTCTTAATGGTACTGGTATTAAAAGTAGGGGTAGACCGTAGACCTAAATTAATATTGAACATAATAAGAAAATATCTAACTTAAATAAGCGTATAGCATATGATCGAAATGAATGGCGAATACGGACTCATATAGCCGACCCCAAATGATTGGGACATAAGGCTTGGTTTGGTTTGGTTATATTACGAATTAGATAATATTTAATATAAGCAAGTCAAGAGGGAACCCCACGTCATTTTTCTACAAATTTATGCACTAGTCTATTTTGTGTAGTTTTGATTAAGTATACAAAAGCTAATTAAACCATACTATGCACAGGTTTAATATGACAAGCAATCATTTACAACAGTCAACAGAAGATGGGAATTCATTTTCGGTTACCTGCACGTTCAAAAGACTTTCTACTGGGCATGAATAATGGATCCATCCCCCAGCTCCTTTGGAACTGAACTATCTGTAAGTAAAAAAGTTCATTTTCAGAATTCTATCACAGTTAACTGTAGCACAAATCATAATGGCAAAAGGCATGATCCTTCAAAGACTAGGTAGTCTAAGTTGATGCAAAACATTTTGGAAAATAGATAATACAATAGCATTCAAAAAGAACTAAAAAAGTAGAATAAACTACCACTAAATAGAAATTACGTCTAACAACTCACCTCTTCTTCCAAATTTTCAAGGTTGTCCCAATAACCTTTTGGTTTGCGGTGTTTGTAAGCAAGGGAAAGATTCATTAATGATGCAATTCTTCTGAATCCCCCCATTCGTGTGATTGCCTTCTCTATATCTACCCTTCCATGCTTACGAAGTTGCTTTCTCATAGGCATAAATCCTTCCTGGCCATGTTTCGAAATAAATGCCAGAAGCTCGGATTTTAGAATTTTGATATCCCTCTGCAAACCTGGAACCCTGGGTCTTTGTCCAGCAGAATTTGAAGTGCTGTAATCAGAAATCCATTCAGCTGGCTTACAATAATCAGCACACCTGTCACTGCTAAATGATACTGTTTGCTCCTCCGTATATTTTACACAGTCACATGTTTCCAAAGTGCTTTCTGCCACCCTTTTCTCAATGTAATCTCGAATAGCACATAAATTTGAAGGGAGATCTTCATATATAACCTAAAATTGTCACAGAGAAAGATCTATGAATAGAACCAAAATTCATACTCTACCCATAAAGAGCATCAAATTAGATAAATGCAGGATTTGGATTCATGAAGCAGGGAATATATCAAACTCACACTCCAAATAAAATTGGACAATCGTGCAAAAGCAAAATTCAGAGCCAAACAAATAGCAAAATATTACAAACCTCTTCCATAATAGCTTCAGCAAGAAAGCAATTCTTTTGCATTTTTGACTCCACGGTATACTTCAACAGTGTATGATAACTCCCTAGTTGCTCCAGAATCCATTTTCCCTCAAATGAGTCAAAATCCCCTTCAACTTGCTCAAAGCTAATCTCTTGTTGAAGATGTTCACACAAATCTAGGACAACGCGTGCATGGAGTACCATATACAATAGACCCTTGCATCCCTCCTGGAAAATTGAAACCATGGGGAATTCTTATTTTTTTCTCCTTGTTTATATTACACTATTCATGCTTTCATACAATAAAATTAATAATGCTGGAGCCCTAGGTATCTAACCTTGTGAAATGGTTCATTAGTACAATTGTTTTGTAAGCAATGAAAAAGTTGAAAGGATTGGACAAAATTGAACTATATCATGTTTTCTCTAAGTAGTATTATCAAGAATACAAGGTTCCCTGATCTTACAAAGTGAGTTAGAAGGTTATGTGGAATTCCAAGTTTTCAGTCATTTGTCCAAAAGTGCATCATCTTACAAGTGTCTTTTCAATGGATATAGCAGGCAGGAAGCACTGGGCAGAATAAAATTAACATAACATTTTAAGCGTTGATAGGGAAGGGTATCCTCAAAAAAACTTAGATACTCGAAGTGAAATTAATAAAAATGGAACGAAAAAAAGGAAATTCTACTGTCTTTGTTAAAAAGGAAATGCAGGTGGTTATAACATTTCAAGGACTAATTTTACATAACCGGTCCATGTGTGTAGTAATATCGAAAATAGAAGGGTGCAAGCAAGCAAACAATTAACAAAAGGAGGCTACATACTTCCGCAACAATTCTGAAACTATTAGAATGCTGCTGCATATAACATAACATATTTTTGAGAAAAAAGATGGTTACATTGTTTTTTGAGTGAATAAAATTTCTATAAGCAATAAAACAAGTCTCTGATATATGCAACAATAATAAGTCTGAAACTTCTTCCACTAGGTCTCTGGCGTTTCTTACTCACAAATTTCCCAAGCAACCCAAATTGCCCAAGCAGCAAATGGACTAAGATTAAAAGTCAAATTGCGATAGCAACAAAAAGGTAAAGTTGCATTACACGAAAGGAATTCAATTCAGGACAATCCACAAGAAAACCCAAGTTACTAAGAAATAACTGTAAGTTATTTTGAGATCTCAATTACAGAAATTTGCATTAAATTGTAGTTTCTGACTCGTTTGTACATATGTACGTGTAAATTTATGTCCTACGGTAGGTTCCAACTGTCTTCCGATGTATTGCATGGTACACATGTGGTTTCTTTCATCCTACGCAGTAATGCCTTAATGGATAATAAACAAAAAGTGGCCTCAGTAATGCTGCTTGCTCTATTCCATGGGCATTAGGTAAGTACTATGACTTAACTCTCAGTGTTATCAAGCATGCTAAGTATAATCTCCGATTAGAATATACGGAATTTCTGCTTGTACCTGAAGAATACGAACTTTGTTGTTTTCTCGTGATAAAATCTTGCTGATAGCTAAATTTGGAACTACCCTGCAAAAGTAATTTAATGAAAAACCAAGATCAGGAAGATAGATGTATCCGATTGCAAAACCACATGAAGCAGGCAGACTAATATAGTCAATTCAGGGATCAGTTAACAGAATGACCACTCTCATTAACAAGTCTCTCTCTCTATATATATATACATACACACACACACACTTTTGCTCTCTTTAATTCTTGATGGAATCACCGGGGCCAAGAATTTTTTGTTGATCAGCCAAAGCCACTGAGATGCAATATAAAGGGGTAAATTCCTGCTTGCACATTACAATGCAAAAAAAAAAAAATAGACTGCGCAAAAAAAATGACAAAGCTGAAGGCTTAAAGAAAAGAATGGCAAAGCTAAAGGCTCAAAGAAATAAATCCTTCTGGAAACTGAAGGAAAAAAGAATCCATGGAACTGTAATTGAGCTTCTGGATGGGGCTTCAACCCTCAAGTCATATCATTCCTTTCTCCGTAAAGGCTCAATATAAGCCAAGGCAGTGCTGCATCCCAAATCTTCCAAACCTTGCAACTTTGCTCCTTTCCAACTATATATTGCAGCCTCGATAGATCTAGGGATTTCCCTAGACCATCATAAACAGCTCAACAGTAAAATGCCTCCAAAGTTGCCGTCCATGCAAAAATGGCTGCCTTCAGTGGAACTTAAGTGCGCCAAAAATCTCTCTATGACCTACCTTTGTCCCTCCCACTGGAATAACACAATAAAATTTAGCAATAAAAAATCCATCAATGGCTTGAGTCCACCTCATCATGCCAAGTTCATTCCCTTATGTGTTAACCTCAGAATGGGCTGGGCATCCATAAACAGGGTTCAAAGTATCGGCCGAGACTGATACGACTCGGCTGAGTCGTATTCGTCTCGGTCATGACCGATCCGATATTGATACACGATACATAAATATCACGAGTCATCCATGACTCAGCAATGAATTGGTTATAACTCGATAGTATCGATTTGACTCGGACTCATATCGTTTGAATCAGGCGAGTATCGGACTCGGACCGATACCGGTAGAACTTCGGCAAAATCTCCAAAGTCAAAAATGGCAAAGAAAAAAGGAAAATGGAGAAGAAGATCTAAGACTCAAATGGGTATTTTTCAAACTTAAGTAAAAAAAAGTACAAGCAAATTCACCCCTTTTTGCAACTACAGAAATAGAAGAAAAATTAAAATAATTGCAAGGCATACCTGTTAAAATCGAAGACACAAAAAGCCCTAGCATCATCGCAGAAGTCCCCTCTTTCTTCTTCTTCATCATCACAGAAACCCTAGCATTGCAGATGAGTCAGAGACTCAGATCCCTCCTAGCGAGCCTTCAGCGACCAGCATCAACTCCCAGACTCTCATCGTCTCTCTCTCTCTCTCTCATATTTCTCGGTTCGTCGACAAGTCTAAGTCTCTCTCTTGCGTATGTTCTCGATTTGTCGTTGCTCAGAATATGTAAGGCTTTGGTCTTATAAGGAACGAGACCCAAAAATTTATTTGCCTCCCCCTTTTTTTTCTTTTCTCTTTTGGTTCCCAACAGTCACACAATTCAATTTGTTTTGGTCAAATTTTTTTAATTATATAATTTTTAGTATTTACCATATAATATAATTAGAACTTAACTTATTAAGTTTGTTGTTGTATATATAATGAAAGATTTTATAATTAAATATATATAATGAAAAAAATACATATAATTTCTAGTTAGATATACAGTAAATAATTAAGTGAAGAATTTATTTATAAGTAGACTTTCATTTTCAAAGCTATTAAGTTAACCATATATATACACTTATATATTTTTATAATTTTTAAAAATTATAAGTTAAATTATATTAATATTGAACATAGATGATGACAAATATTGTTCGGTAGCGTCCTTATTATTCTTTTTTGTAATGATTAATGTGTTAAATAATGCCTTTTAGGGATATAATGCATGCATGATGATATTTACATTTATTACAATTTTTTCTAATTTTTCCTAATTTTTTTGAGCCTTCTATATAGCGTTTTGACCGTATCAGCTGATACAGCGCCGCGACGTTGCGGCCGATGTATCTTAGTGGTCTCTGAGTCAAGGGCCGATATTACGACCTTGAACCATGTCCATAAACCAGTCCCTATCCACCCGCCAATCCAAGAATGGCCCATAGAACCAGGGTTCTAAACTGATACCCCTATTGAGGGGTCTCAAAGATTAATCAGCAGGGAATCCTTGTCTCAGTTTGTAGCCAGCTAATACAAGTCTGAAAAAAGACACCCTAGTAGATTGCCTCCATGTTACGTATCATGCCAAAATCTCTCTAGCCTTTCCCCATTGAAATCCCACCCTTGCATATCTCCCCACAATCCACACCCTAAGAGATATGTGCACCACCTAGAGGCTCAACCACACGGATCTGTTCAGATTCTACTTTCAATCTTCCCCCACAAATTCTCTATATTCTACTTACTATCATAGCCACCTAGAAAAAGACTAATTGAACACCATTAGTTCCTTTACCCCAGGCCCCCACTTCTACGAGGACAATCTATCTTTTATTCCTTTTATTCTTTTATGTTGCCCTACTATATAAGAGTTTTTTGTATGCATTTTTCTATTATGTTGTAATACAATCATTCTCTATTATCTCTTCTCTTTCTCTCTTTGCTTTTATCAAAGTTTACATGGTATCAGAGCATGGTTTCGATCCAAATGTAACACCACGGTAATTTAGTTGGAGGAAGAATATATTCTTAGGTTGTGTGATTTGAGGGCTAGTGATAGGTGGGTTGCTATTTGTGGTTCTAAGGGGCTGTGAACAGTGCCAAAAACACTGTTCATACTGTTGATGATGTTCAATTAGATGCTTTGAAGCTTTTTGAACTGGTTTTTGATGCAAAGGAATGGGATTTTTGGTTGATTTTCTCCTACGGCAAACACAATAACGACTGGTTTATCACTTCTTCTTTGGCTTCTGCCTTCTGGTGCTAACGCCATCTTCCTACCTTGTCTGTTGGTGCTCTTTGATCTGTTAATTGTTGGTTTTTTGGTTGTGGGTGTGAGGTGTGAGCGATTGGTGGCCCATGCAGGTTGTGAGCTTGTGCAGAATTTTAACTTCGGTTATTGCTCTGTTGCTTCGTTATTGCTGATTTTGAATATTCTTCTCTCCTTAGCTTGCTGGAAGACTTTGTTGCCTACTTGGTTTTGTCGCTGTTCACTGCTATTGTTCTGCTTTGGGTCTGTTCGCTACTTTGTGATTGCAGTTATTGATAGTTTGGGCGGGCTGGAATTTTGTTGTTCTTTATTACTTTGGGCTATTGGGTTGTTTGATATTTGTTGTTTGGACTGTTGGACTGATTGATTGGCTATTGTTCCAACAGATTGATTGACTATTGTTCTCTAGCTGGGACTTTGATTTTCCATTGGGTTGTAATTATTGGGTCAGTTTGGCTTCTATTCTTGCTGGGCCTTTGAACTTCAGTTGAGCTTGGTGATTTGGAATTGGTTCCGTTCATTTGATTGTTGTTATTTTTGGCTACTGACAATTATGGCGAGCAACAATTTTGGCTCTCATCTGTCATTTAGTTTAAAATTGACTAAGATTGTTGATCAATTACAGGAGCTCCTTCAACAGCCTAATATTCTCTCTATCTCACCTTCTATAGATTCGTTCACTTCGAGTCCTTCAGGTATATCTCGAACTGCCTGGGTCTTTGACTCAGGTGCTACCCATCATATGACTAGTGATTCTTCCTTATTTGTATCTACCTTTTCTCCTCCATCTGTTTTTGTGCTTGCAGCTAATGGTACACAAATGTCATTGGCTGGTGTTGGATCTATAATTTCTCCGCATCTAACACTTCCTGATGTTTATTATATTCCATAGAACCATCACACTTGGCTGATGTTCCCTCTGACACTTATGTTAGTGAAATGACTGTTTTTGATGTACCCATCACTCGTCCCCCTATTGTGCATACATATGTTCGTAGGAATTCAACTATCTCCTCTACAGATGTGGTGCCTCCCCTTTCTTCTCCTGCCACCCAATCAAGTTTAGATAATGTGGATCATACCCCGCGCTATCCTCAGCGCTCTCCCAAATGTCCAGACAGGTTTGGTTGGAGTAACACTTATTATTCTCTCAACTTTTGTTCTTTCCTTATTTCTATTTACTCCTTATCTGAACTTACCTCCTACAAGGAGGCTTTACTTGATCAACTTTGAAAATAGGCTATGGAAGAGGAGTTGTCTGCCTTACATAAGACTAGAGCTTGGGAACTAGTGCCCTTACCACCTAGTAAACGCCCCATTGATTGTAAGTGGGTTTATAAGATAAAAACCAAGTCTGATGGTTCTGTGGAAAGGTATAAAGCTTGATTAGTAGCCAAGGGTTTTGCTCAGGAGTATGGTATAGACTATGATGAGACTTTTGCCCCTGTTACAAAGATGACCACTGTTCGCACTGTGATTGCAGTTGCTGCCATTCGCCAATGGAATTTGTCTCAGATGGATGTGAAAAATGCATTTCTTTATGGAGATTTAAGTGAAGAGATTTTTATGACTCCTCCTCCTGGATTGTCTCATAGTCCTGGTCAAGTATGTTGACTTCACCGAGCTTTATATGGCCTTAAACAGGCTCCCAGGGCATGGTTTGCCAAATTTTCTTCGGTTATTTGTGACTTGGGTTTTTGCGCCAGTGACCATGATTCTGTTATCTTTTTACGGTCTACTTCCTCATGTTCTATTATTCTCTTACTATATATTGATGATATGATTATTACAGGGGATGACACTGCTGGCATATGCTTATTGAAAATCCAGTTGCAGAACTATTTTAAGATGAAAGATTTGGGACAACTTAGATATTTCTCGGGTATTGAAATTGCATCCACTCCTAAAGGATATTTTCTTTCTCAATCCAAGTATGCTTCAAATGTTATTGAACGAGCTCGTTTATCAAATAATCGGACAGTTGAAACACCTTTAAAGCTCAATGTTCGTTACTCTTCTTCTGATAGTACTCCCCTGTCTAACCCTAAGTTCTATCTCGCTATTGTTGGGAGTTTAGTATATCTTACAGTCACTCGTCCGGATATCTCCTATGCTGTTCATATTGTTAGCCAATTTGTTGCCTCACCCATCACTGTTCACTGGGCTGCGGTTCTTCGTATTCTTCGGTATCTTCGAGATACCCTGTACTAGAGTTTGTTATTCTCCTCCTCTTCTATGGAACTCACGGCTTATTCTGATGCTGACTGGGCTGGTGACTCTATGGACCGTAAGTCCACTACAGGCTTTTGTATTTTCCTTAGTGATTCTCTTGTTTCTTGGAAAAGCAAGAAGCAAACTGTTATTTCTCATTCATCTGTTGAAGCTGAATATCGTGCTATGACATTTACTGTAGCTAAGATAGTTTGGTTACGATGGCTCCTTGTTAATCTTGGCATCATGTTACCTGCGGCGACTCCTATGTATTGTGACAATACTAGTGCTATTCAGATTGCTCATAACTCAGTCTTTCATGAGCGCACAAAGCATATTGAGATTGATTATCACTTTGTGTGTCATAATCTTCAGTTGGGCACTATCTCCCTCCCTTTTCTTTCTTCCACTATACAGTTAGCAGATTTTTTCACAAAATCGCATACTATTACTCGCTTTTGTTTTCTTCTTGGCAAACTCTTGATGTTGTCTGCTAACACATCACGAGTTTGAGGGAGGGTGTTAGAGTAGTTAGAATATTTAATCTTAAGGGTAGTTTAGTCTTTTTATTCTTTTATGTTGCCCTACTATATAAGGGCCTTTTGTGTGCATTTTTCTATTATACTGTAATACAATCATTCTCTATTATCTCTTCTCTTTCTCTCTTTGCTTTTATCAAAGTTTACAATATACATGGTCATTCTCCTTCTCATCCATGAAAAGTCTGACTAAATCGTCTTTAACCTCTTTTCCACCTGGAGAATGTACCCTTTTTAAGAGTCACCCTTACCTCGTGTGCAAAGAAAAACACCCCTCAAGAAGGTAGTGTCCCTTCCACAATATTAGCCTTCTCAGAAATTATTCCACTAATGGATCATTTGTTTTACATCAAGAGAAACTCCAGATGCTCCAGATACAGCGACGACAGGCACCTTTCGGAAATATTTTATTAGAAGGTATATATAAGTTTAAGAAAGTGTGGATACTTGACAACATGTACATTAACAATCTTGGCTAAAGTATCTGTTTTGGAATTTTTAAGTAGATTTTAGAGGGTAGCCTTGGTGGCAGCTATAAGATTGCTTCATCATAATATCAATCAAGGATTCAGGTCGCGGAAACAACCTATTTGTATGCAGGGGTAAAACTACATACATCTGACTCTCCCCATATCCCACAGTGGTAGCCTAGTGCACTAGGCTGCACTAGCATAGCTTTATATAAACTTTGTTACTCGTTTTGCATACCTCATTTCTACATGGAAATTACACACACACATGTATATAAGTAACACTGGTGTGTCATATAATGCCTACATATCAACAGATAAATAAATAATAAGTATTTTGGGAACACCAAACTAAGTAGAAGTGGTTAGTGAATACTTCCTAATGGACATAGTCAAGGTACAATATCATATCTCAGGACAGCAGTTTATAGGTGCATTTATTATTGCTATCAATAGCAATGAATATTAACATATGAGATTAGGACAAAAGACCAAGTTTAGCTCTATCATTAAGATTTTGAATTGTCTTTATTATAGTGATATATATATATATATTAATAAAAAAATGATGAATATTTCAAGGCAAAAATCAAGTTGGACAATTTGCTCATATTAAATAGCATTTCGTTTTGCAAATCTCAGGAAAGAGGTATTATATGCAACCATATATGGTACTCCGACAGAGAAGCAGGACTAAGTTATTAGATTTTTGATATGTAGTGTATCAAGATGTTTCAATGGAAGTGACAGCTAGAGTTACAAGATGGACCGAGATGGAAAACATCCATGAACGTGGGTTGATAGGTACATATGGAGCTTTCCTTGGTCTACTTAGGATAGCAATTTACTGATTTGTGACCTAGGGGAAATCTTGTTAAAGAGTGAATTAGAGAGAACGGTAACCTCCCTACTGTACTGTTCAGGTAACTTCAGTTATGATATCATGTGTAGTAGTAAAATTGTCAGTCTAACAGCCATGAGGTTGTGAGTTCAAATTTGAGGGTGCCCACTTTTTGAAAATCATACCCAATTATAGATGCGTACAAAGTACACCCCTCCCAATGCCCACAATTTATGGGAATCAAACTGCTGATGATCTCGATCCTTCAACTTGTGTTGCCATACACAGAGGTTATGCCAGCTTTGTACTGTGCAAGGAAAACTTAGTATTTTGACAAGAAAACATTACTTCCCTTAAAGTACTAATCATACCTAAACAATTCTGTTTTATTCAGTATAGTTACCGAGTCTGTTTATTGGTC